AGGTGGGGTCTAGCGAGAGCAGAGTAGAGGGGGAGAATCACCTCCTTCGACCTGCTGCTAATGCTTCTTTTGATGCAGCCCAGGACACGGTTTGCTTTCTGGGCTGCAAGCGCACACTGCCGGCTCATGTTCAGCTTCTCATAGATAGAGCTGCTCTCTATCCATTCTCCACCCATCCTGTATTTGTGCTTGCACACATGCACACCCCACGCTCCCATTTTCCAAGATGGTCAAAAGGAAGCAGAGGAATTGTTAGGACTGCTAGCTACTTCACTATATGACTAAGCTGCTAAATAGGCTTGGGTCTTAGGTTCAGCTAATTGAACAGGAAGTGGAAAACTACCAGACATGACACGAGGCATAGCTGGACATGACAGGCAACAGCGTAATTTTTGTATTCTTCACATATTTTCTGTAGAGGACTTGCGTGTGCAGTGTTATAGAAAAAACTGCTGACAGTATCTGTATTTGCTAGCCATTACATTGACTTCTGGGGACAAGTTAACACCCTAGTCAAGGAAAGGTACTCTCTCAAACCCTTTCCACTCATACATAAATGAGAATGAACTGGTGAATACTTACATTGAGGAAAGAAGATGCAGCCACTCTTCCTGCTGCTACAATGAAATCCATAATAAGCATGGTGGCACCAGGCAAACCAAGTGAAAAGAACTGAGGAGAACAGTGCTTGATGATTGTATTGACAATATCCTTGCAGGATGAAAAGGGAAAAAATGAAAAGAATATTAACAAGATGAACAATGAATGAAAAAAATGCAGGTACTTACCAAAGGTGGAAAGTAAAAAAGCAAGAAAGCAAATTTATTGTGGCAATTAAGACATTCATTACTGAGCGAAGAGTGGCATAAAAATGCTTAAGTATACTCATATAAGTAAACTATGGTATACTTTATAGATCAATTTAACCTTGGACACTCTTGTATGATGTTGGTACAAGATTACATCTTATATTCATGTACATTCAGCCTTTAAGAGTTCTATAAATGATTAACCATTCATTTAAATATGTACAGAAGAGAGATAGTGAGATAACCAGCTATTATACCTTCTTAACAACGTGCTTAAATCCTCTCCAAGGATCACCTGACTATAAAAGAGGTACTGGCCTCTCAACACAGTGTATTATGGTACTGTAGACTTAGTGAGGTAGTTTTTAAAATTAAAGTACATGATGCAATTTCTTCAGTACTATTGGAAAAAGCATAAAATGTTTTAATTATTTAAAAACTTCCCAAGTTCACAGATAGGAAAAAAAATAACACTTTTCTTCCTTTTGAATAATTCTCCAATAGTAGTGTTATCCAACTAAATGGCAATATGCTACAGTAAGATTTGCAATCCAGCAAGAAAAGCAGTGTAAACTGGTTTTTAGAGGACAGAAATTGGAGATCTGTCCTATCCATAGCCATCTGTGCAATAATTTTGGACTAGTTCTACTTTTCCTAGCTAATGAAAAAGGGATTGTTTGAAGCTTTGATCTCTCTATGCCTCTAACTGCTCCTCAAAGTAGTTCATAAAACCAACTTTTTCACACTTCTGATGCAAGCCTTTAAAGAGTGTTTAAGCCATACAATATTTTCAGACTTGTTCATATTAATACCTACGAAAAAGACTAGATACACTCAGGATGTGTCAGTTTGCTGGTTCCTATATGTGTTGCAGAAATAAACTGCTACAATGTAGTGAGCACAATTTACTTTCCCATACACTAAACTACTGCATCAGGGAGTAAGTGAAAATAACAGTAGGCCTTAGAGACATCTGCTTCCTTCTCTTTCTTTGCATGCTTCAATCTGTAACATACAATCAGTAAAAAAAAAAGAATACCCTTCTGCCCTTGTGCTCGCTTGAAATGGACAACAAAAAAAACCATTTCTGATTATCACCAAGAACATGAGGACCATTTATCAAAGTTTAGAAAAATTACCAGTCACATAACCATCTTCAAAGACTAAGTTAAATTACTCATCTGCAAATCCATTCAATATTTTTGATAAAACAATTTTATTTTTAGTTATACTTTTTATATTAACCTGAATTTCATAATTAAACTTACTTGATCAACATGAAGTAGTCCACAGTGCATTATATTGTAGAAATGGGTTAAAAAATCCCTGTTTGGAGAAACATCTTGTCTTCGCTTCATTGTCTTACAAATGAGTTTATAAGCATGTAGCTTTCCTTGTTTGTATTTATCAGTCAGCATTGTTGCCTACAGTTTTAGAACAATATTTATTATTCATAAATCAAAAAATTACATTAAACATTCTTCTACAACTACACAAAATTTATTTGTTTCACTGCTTAGTGTTCAAATTCACCTTGAACAGCCATGGTGTTAGAATTCTCAGCGGTGGAATTAAAACTGGTGGAGATGGTGAAGTTAGGTTATCTGTTGAAATACCAAGATTGTCTCTTATCTGCAATTATTCAAAACAAAACACAAAGATAAACATTTAAGGGAAATGCATAAGGTCGTGGTTTTTTCCTTCTAAAAATCCTGCCTTATCAGGTCAGGCTGAGAAAAGGTTCAGTTCTTTTACCTTGGCCAGATTCTGCCACAGTTCACATAGGTAATCAAAAACCTGAGCATGAATCTCTGGATCCATGATGCTGTTGACATCTCCCAAAATTCCTAGCATTCGCCTCCACATCACAGTAGCAACATCTGCGTGCCATCCTGTAAGCGTTCCCCCAGCCATCACGCTGCAACATTCTGAGGGGAATTCACTAGTTTCTGTAATTGAAGAAAAAAGTACAGTGAGACCTACCTCTCCAGAGAAATAAAAGTTCTGATGTAACTATTACATACATAGTTTTCTTAAAACCAAAAGGAAAAAAAAAAGATCAGGCTTTCAGAGTAAGATATTTCTTATCCATTCAGCCACCTCAACACTGAAAATGTTTACCTATATGTCTGCTTTCAAACTCTGTAGAGGAAGAATTGTCCTGTGTATTCTTTCCACAAATAACATTTAAGGTCACTTCTGGAGCATTAATACCAGTCTGATGGACCTAGTAAGGCCACTCCTTTTTTAAGTGCTGTCTTACATGCTTGGGAGTCAATGAATTTCCAGAACGCCACTTGCCTGCTTCCAAGTAAAATTACATTTCAACTTTACATTTTTCCCAATAAAACAGAAATATGATTTTCCTTAGAATCTTTTAGGAATGTATTTTATTGCAAACTGAAAAGAAAGGTGAGAGTAAATTTGTCTCTGGCTACTGTTCTTTAAGCAGTAAATTTGGATGAGTGGAGAGGCAACATTCAGTAACCTAGCACCCCAGTCTAAGTCTCACCTAGCTCTCTCTACAAATCAGTGTTATACAACTAAACATTCTTTTTTTAGGTGGAAGATGTTTCATCTGGTTTGTCCACACAAAGAAAACTTCAATAGGTTACAATGGCTAAAGTCTACTCAGTTCACACTTGACTAGCTAAACAGCCACACTAAACTAGCTAATGAACCACAGTTTTAAAGCAGCAGGCATCCAGAATCTCCTTTCCACCCCTCCCAGGTTTTCAAAACACCTCAGCACTATAATTTGCCAAGATCTTCCAAAAACCTTGCAGCTCCTACAGGCATACACAATTAAAATGAAATCTGAATTCAGCCTAATCACATAGCCTCTTCTTTTGAAGATCTGGACCACTGTGATAGAGACACTAACGGTTTCTAGCCTGCAGATTTCAAAGTACAAAGCAAAATTATGTTATTCCTGTCCATCAGTAAGCTACTTGAAGGAAAATGGTCTGAAATATACATCAGACACCTTTCTGGTTGCATGAGACCAAATACGGGACAAATTGGAACTGTGTATGTATAAAGTGAATGTATCCTAGAATCCAATAGGTAAGATAGCAGAAGTAATTATAAATTCATTTAAAGACGAAAGGGAAAACAAATGATACTCCAAGAAGAAACTATAACATTACTTTAAAATTATGTCTTATCACTTGTACATCAATGATAAAATAGTCTATGACAGGGCCACATACTAGGTTAAGTTGCTAAGACTAAGCATCAAAAAGAACAATTACAAATGTGTGGACTATTAATCCACTGCTAACAGCTCCAATGAAATGCAAGAAAAAATGCAAAAGGTTTTTGCTTGCTTTTAAATCATCATAATTAAATATTTTTTAAAGTGCAGGTGAAATGATCTTGTACAGGATTGTCTACAACTAATGCAATACTAGCTGCTTCACTACATGGCATTGGAAAGAAAGAAAGAAAAGGTTTATATTTTCTATTCCAGATATTGCCTAGGTCATCTGGCGTCTGTAAAACAGAGTGGTGGAGCTTCTCATCCAGCTGCAGATCCTTCTGCTCAATATGATCTGCATGAAGAGTGGCAGGAGAGGGTGTCTGTGATCGGGATCCAAGAGCAGATTGGATTGGAGAAGCACTTTCAGAGCCTGCAAATGCAATTTTTAACAGTTACCTTAAAAGCGTTTTCTGTTTTCTTGAGCTACTGAATTGTTGTCTAAACACAGCATTAAAAGAAAACTGAACTACTTTTGTATATCAAATCTGGGCACGAAAAGATATAAAAACTGTAAGCAGATCTCCCTATGAATGGTGCTCTGAAAAAAAACTAATTACATGCAGGAAAGCTGAGAGATTAACATCAAAATCAGACAGATAAATGGATTAACAGAGATCTAGTTTAGGTCCAAATAATTTTAAATGTGTTAGTTCCACAGCACTTTCAGTGTTCTGAACCAGTCAAATTTCTCTCCACATTCTCTCACCTAAATTTCTCTCCAACCAAGTGTTTAAGCAGAAATTTTCCTGGAACAACTGCTTTTCCAGGTTTATGGATGCATGCAAATTAATTTCTAAATAAAAGCTCAAACCAGTAACTACCAAATTTTGATGTTTATCTGCTGATTATGCTGTGAAAATCTATATGGAGGGAAAGTTCTGTAAAATTAGAGGAATGTTATTTCCTCTAAGACAGGAAAATACAAGTGTTTGAATAGCAGTGCTGCAAAGGCATTTTTCCACAATCACCACGGAGCAACCTCTCTAGGCAACCACTTGGTCTCTAGAGAAGACAGAGAGATCTGTAGAGAGGGAGCAGGTACTTGTATTTTTCTTCTGCACTACCTTAGTTTCACTTCCTGAATTTGCCTAAAGATCCTTATAAAAAGATGAGTTTGGTGAGAACAGTCAAATGGCAGGAAAAAAAGCAGAGAACATACTTCACCACATACTTCCCTAC